TGTCTGGATGGAGACAGGACAGCCAAGGAGAGGCCAGGAGCTGGGGGCCCGGGGAGGCGAGAGCAGGGCCACGGCCAGCCCACCTTGCAGACCTGCAAAGTGGCCAGGCCCAACAGCCTGGGGGCAGCTGGGTGAAGGGGGACACAGGATAGTGGCTCCATGCCCCCCGCCCCGGGCCCAAGGGATGACCGGCTGGCAACAGCAGGGGAGGACGCCCTCCGGGAGGACCGGGGCAAGCAGCAGACCCGGCAGAGGGTCTGAGACGCTGCCCGCATTTCTGCCCCTCCCCTGAGGAGCGGTGGTGTGCGCGCAGGATGAGCGTGGCCGCCTGCCACCTGTCCCCTGGGGCAGCCCCTCCGGGGGCCACGTCTGAAGGCTCCCGAGCCCCGAGCCCAAGGCCTTCACTCCCGGAGAATAAACACGACTCTGGGAAGTGTGCTCACACCGGGCTTGCTCTGGAATTAGTGGTTTCCGTCCCCTGCCCCCCACCCCGTGCCCCGTCGCCTCCCCAGGGCCCTGCCTCTCGGAAAGGCCCCACCGCACACGTCGGTGCTCGGGCGCCTCAGGCCCTGAGTTCATGGTCCCAGTGGGGCTGGGACACTGCTTAGGGGATCCCAGGCCCAACCCAGGCACAGCCCACTCCACCTCGGCTCTGCAGACGCAGGGCTCCTCTCACTCTGCCCTGGACACGTGCTCCAGCCCACCCGGGAATGCGCTGGCCACCCAGGCTCAGGCTTGAGGACGGCCTCGGGCTGTGGCTTAGCATCTGCTACAGCATCTGGGGCTCCGTGTGGGGCTTGGTTGCTGCCAGCCTTCACAGGCCAGCAGCTTGGACGCTCCCAGGCCCCCCAGCGTCCGCACACTCCCTGCAGCCTCCACGTGCCGCTGGGCCGGGAGCTAACAGCGGTGCTTTTTGGGACCCAGCTGCAACCTCCCACCAGCTTCCTGGCCAGTGGCCACCCTACCTGGGGATAAATCCCAAACTTGTTCCTGGGAGTAAAGAGTTCCCCCTGGGATGAGAAGCACAGGCAGGAGCTTGGGGTCACTGGCCCTTCCCGGTGGCCTTTTCCCCCTGACTCTTACTGCACGTTTGCGTCAGTGACACAAAGGCCACCTGTGTGCCTGCCGGCAGAGTCCAGGGTCCCTCGTGGCCAGTGAGGGGTGTCCGCCTGAGCCCCTGCTGGCTCCCACCGCGGTCTCCTCACACACACACAAGCCCCAGCCATCGCCACCTATTCTGCTTGGCCTCAGACTTTGCAGAAGGAGGTCCCACCCTGCAGTCTCCTGGGGCCCGCTTTTCAGTCCTTGTGCTGGTGTCACATGTGCCTGTCCTGTGTGTCTCGACGTGCTGTCACCCCCAGGTCAGGTGAAAATCAGGCCGTGCCCTTGAGGATGAGCTTCCCCTGTCCCTGCGGCCCTGCTTCCTCCATTCTTGGGGCTCGGGGCGTCCCCCACGAGAGGGGCCCTTCTCCCCGGAGCCCGGAACCGGCGCAGCCTGACAGCCGAGGAGAATGGCTGCTCTGAATGAAGCCCGAAGCCAGACACTGGGTGGGGAGGGGGGAGGGAGGGAGGAGTCGCTGAGGACTCACCAACCGGGGTGGCCTGGATGAGGTCCCTAGGCCTCATCAGAGCATCACAGCAGGCACCCTGACCCTCTGCGGGGTGCGGGGGGGGGGGCATCACGCCGGGGCCACTCACGAGCCTCCTGGCCCAGGGGAGGTGGCGGGAGCCCCAGACGCAGGGTCACAGGAGTCCCTCTGAGCCTCTGGGAACAGCTCGGGGCAGCGCTGGGATCCAGGCCCGGGGCAGCTGCTGGAGACAAAGTCCATCAGAGAGGGAGAGACTCCTCGCCCCCAGAAGAGGGCCCGTGCTGGGGGGGCCGAGTCGCCTTCACTCCAGAGGTGACCGCACTCGGGGGCAGGTGCTGCGGGCGCCAGGGAGAAGGCGGGTCCGAGACGAACTCTCCGAGCTCCCAGGGCTTGTTCGCAGAATCGCCGCCAGGCACACGCATCACAAGCCACAGAGCAAAGCGAGCGCAAGAGGCCCCACAAGCAGGAGGCTGTCGCGGGGTCTGAGGGCCTGAGGCCGCCGCGGCTCCGCCGTTGAAGGAGCGGGAAGCACAGGGCCTCCAGGCGGGCGCGCTCGGGGCCTGGGCGCCACCCCCACCCGGCAGCCAGCACCCTCCGAGGCCTGGGGAGCGAGCTGCCCGGCCCGACGTGAGGCCCTCAGCCCGTCACACGGCAGGTCTGCCTTGGTGTGCAGACGAGCTGTTCGCGTTCAGCCTGAGAGAAACGCTGAAAACAAGCAGCTGCAGCCCAGGGGCAGGGTCGGGGCCTGGGGTCGGCAGCACATAATTAACCACCCGCCCCTCGAGGAGCCCTGCCCAGGGTCTGGGCCTCATATACGCCGGGCTGGGCCCAGATGCTCAAGAACCGCGGTGGCCCCTGAGGGAGCCTGTGGGCCGCCGCGGAAACAGCACATAAACCCACCAGCTCCACTAACCTGCTTCCCTGGAGACAGTGGTCCCCTCGCCCAGCCCTCCAGCTCCCGGCGTCCACCGCAGACCCCTCAGACGGGGCGGTGAGGAAGGAGCCCTGCGCCCACCGCAGACCCCTCAGATGGGGCGGTACCTTAAGGTCCTTGCAGAGGGTCGGCCTCCGTTTTCCGTGGCCCTCGCGCCTGTGCAGTCCCCTCATCGCAGGTGCAGGCCTGTCCACACACCTGCCTTCCAGATGCTCAGCAGGGACGGGGTGCTGTGGGGAGTGGGAGGGAGCCCAGAAGCTGAGGGGGCGGCTGAGGGGCCAACAGGAAAGGCGGGCTGCGCACAGGCGACAGCCCTGCGGGGGCCGCACAAGGCCCTGCCAGCTCCATGTGCAGCCGGCCAGGGAGTCCCCACAGCCGTCATTTCTTGGGAGCAAGGCTGGCTACCGTTTGTCATGACTGTTGGCAGGGAAATGGGGTTTATGGAGAGAATCTCCTGCAGGCTGGAAAAAGTGCACAAAGGATTAGAGCCGCTGTTGGGAGGTGGCCGGGGGAGAAGCACCGACACTGAGCTGAAAGGAGCCCAGCGTGGCCCCTCCCTCCCGCCGTCCACGGAAAACAGGCCAACCCCGGAGCGCCCCTGCGCCCCCGCGTCCCCGCGCCCCCGCGCCCCCGCACCTCCGGCTCCCGTGGCGCGTCCCGCCCCTCCTCCGGCTCCTCCACAGACCTTCCCCGTGCCCTCGCCGCACAGCCCTGCTCCAGCGCGGGCCTCCCCAGATCCTCCTCGCATCTCAGCCCCCTTAATAATTAGACGGTTTAGTTGCACGAAACGGAGACGACTTAGACACCAAAGTGAAAAGGAATTTGTTGGTGGGACACTCGCAGTCACAGGATGGACAGGAAGCTGGGAGGAGGTGGGCCCGAGCCCCGGAGAGCTGGGCCGTCTTGTGGTGAGAGCAGACTGGACGGTGGCCTTGACCCAGAGGCAGGGGGACGACGGCCCTGGGCATGGCTGACACGGTCCAATGCTGACCCTTCGAGGGGCAGGGTTGCACTCCAGAAGGAGTTGGTGCTGAGGCTTCTGGGGGGAGGGCAGGCACCCAGATCCACTGTTCCTCTAAGACTCACCCAGCGAGAGGGTACATCACCCCCAAGGAAACAGTGGACGCTGTAGAGAAGAAAGGATAGCGGAAGACTGGCTGAATTTTAATGTCCATTGCCCTCCTCTGCCCACTTCTGAGCCCTGGCTGGCCCTTCCTGGGTGTCCCCCGCTGTGTTTTAATCCTTTATTCACATGCTCACCCCCTGGTGGATGCGAGCTTTCTGGGGGCTGGTCCTGCTGTGCCTGTCTTTCTGCCTTGACACCCAGGAAACAGTCAAGCTGCTTTGGAGAAAAGCAGATCTATTTATATGTACAAAGCTATCAAATTTATCTCTTAAGATTTATTTAATTTATCTCTACTCAAGTTCAAGTGCCCCGGACAAAAGGACGATGCATGGAACACACAGTAACACGGCCTCGGGCTGAGGGGGGGGCACCTCATCAGTTCCCTTCAGAAGTTCTTTTTTAAATAACAGTAAGTCCCCTACATAAAAATGTTTCATTCAGAGAGCACGTTCATAAGCCCAACAAAGTTAGCCTAGGTACCCAGCTAACACCGTCGGCTATACAGTGCTGTACCGTAATAGGTTTATAGTACTTTTCACACAAATAATACATAAAAAACAAACACAAAAAATAAAGAGAACATTTTTAATCTTACAGTGCAGTCCCTTGAAAAGTACAGCAGTGCAGTACACAGCTGGCATCCAGGGGCTGGCATCGAGGGCACAGGCAGGAAGAGTTACTGACTAGAGGAGGGAGGGGAGGTGGGAGACGGTAGAGCTGAAGGGTCGTCAGCAACAGGAGACGGAGGGCGAGCTGCCATTTCCTTCACGCCTGACGCTGACGGCACAGGCTCTGGTTCCTTGCTGGATTCAGTTCTATCCACCCTCTTGAAAAGACGATCGAGTGATGTCTGGGTAGTAGCTCTTTTTTTCTCGTCATAGATGACACGGTAGCACTGGATTGCATTCTGAACGGCTGCTGCAAACTTTGTGCACTGTTGTAGGTTCGGGTCCTGTGCCTCGAAAGCTAACAGTGCCTCCTCAACTAAAGAAAGTCCCCTGCCGTTTCCTGCGTCGTGACTCTCTTCAGTTCTGCAGTTACTTCTTCTTCCTCGTGTCTCCCTTCGTCCTTTCTCTGGGCCTCCAATCCCTGACGCTTCTCAGCAGTACAGCTACATCACCACTGCTTTTACACTTGCTTCCGGACATCCTGGGCTGGAAATAAAGATACTGTGCTACGGTACTCTATACAGTACTGTACAGTGAAGTACACAAAAGCACAACCGGTTGTAGAGGATACACGCACGTGACAACGTACTCCAGACTCGTGAACTAACTTACGTGATTGGACGTGCAAACGCACGTTCCCGTCTTGGAATGTTCGCAACTTGAAGGTTCGTATGTAGGGGACTCACCGTATGGAACACTTCACGAATTTGCTGTCATTCTTGCCCAGGGACCTTGCTAATCTTCTCTGTATCGTTCCAATGTTAGCCTATGTGCAGTCGAAGCGAGCGCCTTCGGAAATTCTTCAGGCATCTGTGACTGTCAGTCAGTGATACCCACCTGTGAGTGTCTCCTCACTGTGAGCCTTATGTCACACTGGCCTCACAGGGTCCCTTGGAAATTAGCTGAGACGATACACCCAAGTCCTGAGCAGTGCACCCAAGTGCTGCTGTCGTAACCACAGTGCCTTGTTGCTTGGTTCAAGACTTTGCATAATATGATGTGCACCCTTGGAGAGGGTCGGTCGGTTCTTCTCATCCTTACGGAATTGAGCTCTACCTTGAGCTTCTGCCAGGGAAGCGTCCCGCCCACAGTCAGCTCTGGGTCCACCATGCTGCAGCCCCGTCACCCGTCACCGCTCACCCCTCACCAAGCACAAGTGCTGGGAAGGGTACTGGGTTCACAGTGGGGACAGCTCAGACCTTGGCTGCAGCTGCTGGTCCAACGGGAGAGGTAGACGTTAGGCAAATAAAGCAAACACATTTGTAACAGTGTGGCTAACAGTACAGGCTTCATACCGGGGCCTGCGTGAGGTCGAGGGCCCTCCACGGAACTGACGTTTACTGGCCCCTCAGGGACGAGAGGGCCCACCAGGGTGGAGAGAAGCAGGTGTGCTGGAGAGACACAGAGAGCAAGGTGGGACGCGGACACCTGGCCAGCCTGGAGATGTTGGCGGGCCAGGCCTGCATGGCCACTGGGATCTGGACTTTGTTCTAAGTACAGAGGGCCACACAGAAGGCAGACGGCCATGCCTGCGTAACTTTTAGGAAACAGACTGTGGTTGCACGTGCACGTCGTGGGTCACAGAAGGGGAGGCAGGAAGCGGGAGCTCCTTAAGGATGGTCTGGGGGAGGTCAAAGCTGCAGGAATCAGGGTGGAGGCTGCAGAGAGAGAAGGGGAGGCTTCTCGGGGCCTTTTGGAAGTAACACTGACAGGTTGGGGAGGGGCTAAACTTGGGGCGGGTGGGCCTGACGGAGAGACCAAGGGGGGAAGACCGCCCAACAGGACTCGGGTACAGAGCTGCCGCTGACCCAGATGGGGAGGAGCTCTAGGCAGAAATAGTCTTGCATGACGGCCCCGTGTGACACCCTCCACGTGGAGACCCGCAGGATTACAGACGACACGACACGACCGCCAGCCGTGAGCTGGGACCTGGGTCAGATCCACCCAGCAGAGCGGAGGCCGTTTCCTGCGGCCAGCTCTCCAAGGGGCCTCTGTTCTCCAGGAAACAGAGGGCGTGTTATTCATCAGAACTTCACGAGGTGGAAGAAGTCGCCCGGCTGTGCCCCCTCACGGACGGTCGCCTTCACCCGCTCCCGTTTGTAAGTGCCCATCGTGGTGCCAGGTCCAGCCGAGAGAGACGGGCACAACCCGACTCTGTCCTCCGAAGCCCGCCTCAGCTCCCCAGGCCGCAGCCGGGCGCCCACGGCCCGCCCCCGCCGGGGCGCATCTGCCTCAGGGGCGACGGTGGGCTTGGACGAGGAGTGCGCGTCACGGAAGGGCGATAACACGCCGAGCCCTGAGAACGGGCCGCGTTCCCAGCTACCTGCTTCCATTCATGGGCACACGCTCTCACATGCGTGTACGCAGACGTAGCTGCGTGTCTGTGCCCTGACTGTTGACAGAGTTGGAATCCTCTTTCCTTCCTCTGGCTGGATGACCGTGAGGGTGATGTACACTTTTCTCAGAGAATTTGGAAGGTAAAAATGTGTGTGCATCTGTGCGTCTGTGCAAAATGAACCATGACCTCACCTTTCCCCCCAGGACCCACTGTCGGTATTTTGGTTTGGGGAGAACTTGTAGAAGGAGTTTAGAGAGACACAGCCGTTCTTGACTCTGCCCCCACCAGACGTGAAGGGGGTCACAGAGCCTCCCGCTTTCCGAGACGCTCGGGGACCTGCCACGGGCCTCGCACACTCGGGGGACCAGCCATGAGACCCGGCCCTCCACCCGGTGGACGCCGGCCCACACGCCTGTTCTCATGGGGATCGTCGCCGTGTGCTGGAGACGGTTTTCTGTTCCTCAATCTTTACACAAACTATCAATGAAATCAGCAGTGGCCGTAAGTAGTGAATTTAATGGCTTCCGCACTATCGTCTGAGAAGTTCTTTTAAATTAAAAATAGTCATCACTGCTTATTTCTTCACCAGAAAAATGTAACTGGGGATGTTTTAGGAGGAACGGCGGGCAGGGCTCAGAGAAAGAGGCCACGTTTCCTGCGCAGGCGCCTGTCCCGCGACTGTGCACACGGCCTCGTTTGATGCTGGCGGGGCTCCCGTTCCTTCAAGGAGAAGCCCCCTCACCCTGAGAGGAGAGGCCAGCCCGAGGCTGCACGGCCTGTGCTGGGCGGCTGGGGTCCAGGCTGCTCGTCCGCGGAGCTTCCCTGCAGCAGTCACCAGGCTGCCGTTCTTAACTCATGCCGGGTAGCAGGGAAGATCTGTGAGATTCTCAGGCGCTCTTAGACACCAGCGTGTTTGAAAGGGCTTCTCATTGTGACCAAACTTTTTTTTAAGTGAAGAGTGAGTGATCTTAGATGTTTCCTGGGAGCTGGGATACTGCTCTATGTCTTTCATATTTGGGTTCACACCTTCAACTGTGCATAAATTATAGGTAAATGCCACATTTCACAGAAGAGATTCCAAGGCGGGCGGGACTGCCCACCGTCGCCAGGCTCCCACATGCTTCAGTGCAACTTCCGCCTCCCAGACCTGGGCTCTTGGGGATGATTTGGGGTCCCAAGAAGGGCAGAAATCAGCTGGGGGTGTAAATACATCCAACACAGAGCAGGTGAAGAAGGGATCAATAAGGCCGCACCGTGTGTCTCTAGGCGCTGGTGGCTCAGCCCAGCCGGTGCGTGAGCGGAGGGCTGCTGACGCTGACGCTCGTGCCCCGGCCCCATTCAGCGGGCGGGCGGAGATGCACATCGGCACAGACTGCACCCCACCTCTGTCGGCCTCCCCCCACCCCCGAGACCCCCGCTAAGGACAGATGAGCAGGTGTGGGCCCTGTCAGTGGCCTCTCGGGGACCACTCCCATCTTTGTGTCGCTGTTGCTGGGACCCCACTTCCTGTCCACGAGCTCAGGGACCCGAAAGCTCTCTGTCTGCACCTCCCTGCTCAGCCCACCTCCTCTTCTCCCCGCCGGCTGCCTACATGTTCGAGCTGGGCCTCCAGCCCCTTTCTATCCTCCAAAAGGCAAAACGTTCCAGTCCCCGAAATTGCTCTGCTTTTGAGTGGTTGCCTCTGCGCTTGGGCTGATGCTACAAGCAGAGTCTGCAATCCCGTTGCCAGTCCCGATGTGGACAGAAAGAAGAGCCGCTCAGATGCCTGCTTCTCTACCTGAATGATGCCCGTGAACCCCAGACAGAGACATGAGTCTCCGGTCTGTGGAGCCGGCCTCTCCTCCCTTCTCATCCCACTGCCCCAGCCTTCACAGTGTCACCGGGGAGTAAAAGAAGTATAATAACTAAGTGTGGGGTTTGACCAGCTTGATGTGCACAAATACCCATGAACCCATCACCATAATCAAAACAACAAGCTTTCCCATCACCCCTGGCGTCTCTTCCTGCCCCTCAAGCTCTGTGGGGTGAAAAACCTGCTTCCAGCCTCACTCGCACGGCTGCCCATGGGCCCCAGTGTCTTGGAGTGGATGGAAGGATGGACTCGGGAGGACAGAAACCCCACGTCCCAGGGTGTCGCCCGGAGCAGGGCCTTCGGCGGTCTTGCCAGGAAGCCAGGGCTGGAAGCCCTTCGCAGTGCCGCCAGGCCCGAGGAGAGCACATCCTAAAGGACTGGCCCGTTGACCCTTGGCAGGGGTGATGCCGGGTTCCTGGGGGACCGTTCACAGTGGGGGAGGCAACCCTCCGATGGAGTGTGGGTGCCGCCGGGGGTGGGGATGGAGGCTGGGACGCATGCGTGCACGCGCTCCCGGGCCCTGCCCTTCACCCGTCAGAGCAGATTTGCCTTGAGCGGTCTCTGCTTTAACCATCTGTGGGAGGAAAGATGCCTCGTATTTAAGAACTAAACTGGACAATGAGACGTTTTTTATTCAAGATTATTTTTCCAAATGAATTTCAGAAGATGAGTGATGAGGTCATCCTGCCTCCTGACAGGGGTCCCGGCCCCTGCGTCCCTCCCTCTGTGGTCAGTGGTACCGACAGCCCTCTGTTCCCCTCCCTCGGGACGTCAGAGCCCCAGGCAGCAGACCTGGTGAGGGGTGAGTTGGGGAGTGACGGGAAGGCTCTTCAGAGCCGCACGAAAGCAGCACTTTTAACTAACATTGTGGAATTACTTAGCTTCCTAGATGAAGCCCTTTCTTTCTTAACTTAGCATGAGTTAAATGTAACTGCATGTCTTGTTATGGTTAGTTATTTCTCCATGTTTCCTGCTTACCAGTTTACTCAGTTTGCCTTCGAATCTTAAATTAATTCTGATTATTTGGACAAGTGAGAACAAGTTTTCCATTACTCCTAACACCAAAACAGCCTTTTGAAGTCCACGAGCACACACGTTTCTCTAAGAGCTGTTTGTCCCGGCCTTTTCAGAACCCTATTTGGAGTGGGGACTCAGTAAATCTTTGCCAACTTGACTTAAATTGAATTCCCTTCAAGTGAACTCCATTAACAGCGGTTCAGGACATACTCAAGACGTGTCCACTTAAACTCTGAACCACCCTCCATTCAGCAGATGTCCTCAGAGGCCCCTGGAAGCCCCGGGGTTGGCAGCCAGCTCGCGGGGGCGGACGTGAGCGGGGGCTTCTGCTCCGGGTCTCCGTTTCAGAGTCCGGCTCCCCCGCTTTGTCCATGGTCCTCCCAGCATCTGAGACAGAGCTTCTCCCCGTGGACCGTGACTCCGGCAGCCTGGGGTCTTGAACGCCCTCAGGAGCAGGGAGGTTGGTCCACAGTTGGCACCGGCCAGCCCGATGACGCGTGGGTCCTCTCTGCTGGATGGGGATGGCGTGGACGTCCCCCTGCTCTGGCCCTGGAGGCTTGTCTGGGACACAGCGACCTGTCC